CATTCTAATTTTAAGCCATCTAGTAGGGGTATCACATGCCCAACTAAAAGTTGGTTTTTATGGCAAAACATGTCCTGAAGCTGAGAACATTGTTAGCACTGTTGTACGTCAAGTTGCTGCCTCCAGCCAAAAAGTTGCTCCTGTTTTGCTTAGGCTTCATTTCCATGATTGTTTCGTTCAGGTTAACTTTTCTCTCAATTTACTAGTCAAACATAAATTCAGAATTTAGAATCAGTGCGCACTATACACATTTTGCATAGTGATTTATTAAAATTTACATATATGTAAAAGTGATTCGACCTGAAAGTAATGAGTTTAATTGATCAGGGGTGTGATGGGTCAATTTTGTTAGAAAATGGGGATATTGGAGAAAGACATGCATTTGGACATCAAGGAGTTCAAGGATTTGAAGTAATTGAAAGAGCCAAAGAAGAAATAGAAAAAGTGTGTCCTGGCATTGTGTCTTGTGCTGATATTGTTGCTTTGGCCGCTAGAGATGCTGTTGTTTTGGTACTTCAATTTTTTTTTTCATCTTGGCATTGTCACATGATCAGTTATGTTTTCTCTTGATTAACTACACTGTTTATTTTTTTTAATTGTGACAAATTTTTTTATTTTTTTTATGTATATATAATAAATGTTCGACAGGCAAATGGACCTTCATACGAGGTGGAAACAGGAAGAAGAGATGGAGTGATATCAAATTTAACATTAGCAGATAACATGCCGGATGTTAGCGAGTCTATTCAGATACTCAAAGCTAAATTTTTTCAAAAAGGTCTTTCGGAGAAAGACCTCGTCGTGCTAAGTGGTAATTTATCTATAACAACAGATAACTCGTCATAATAACCTTACTATATATAGTCAATAAATTAAAGTTGACATGACACCGTAACTGTTAGTGTATATAACAATTAGATTAAATTTTTTGTTTTATTAGTATACTATCCCCCCACCCCACCCCCCTTATGTTCTATCAAAAAAAAAAAAATCACAAACTTTGTGGGTTTTCTAGGTTTGGTAGACATTGAAGGGAATGTGAACATTGTCATTAGCTATGACACGATTTTGGACCTTTCTTTTTTTGATAGGAGTACTAATTATTGGTTTTTTTTTTTCTAATCAATCATGTTCTAAGATGATTAGGACTTTGCCTTTAATGATACATTTTTTTGAGAATGAGGAAACAACATTTTTATAGAGTCCAAAGTAGTGTATATTAGTAATTGAAGATCACGAGATAATTACTCAATTAGGAAATGGACCACCATATCCAGATTACTAAATGCAATCACCAATTTACACATGATTCTTGTGTTATCTATCGAATTATAATTAAGACATAACACTTTAATTGCTACAATTGTCATAATTTGCTATAATATGTTAATAATTTTAAAATTCTTTATAGTGGACTTAAATTGTACAATTATTTGCAGCTGCACATACAATTGGTACCACGGCATGTTTCTTCATGACACAAAGGTTATACAACTTTGCACCTGGAGGAGGTTCTGATCCATCCATTGATCCCAGTTTCCTCCCTGAATTAATGGGAGCTTGTCCACGAAACGGGGACGTTAATGCTCGATTACCGATGGATCGGGGAAGCGGCGAGCAGTTTGATAACAATATTTTACAGAATGTTAGGAGTGGGTTCGCTGTGTTACGATCTGATGCAAGTTTATACGAAGATGTCGATACAAGGAATATTGTCGATTCCTATTTTGGGATTTTTAGCCCATTTTTTGGGACATCTTTTGAGGATGATTTTGCTAATGCAATGGTCAAAATGGGTAGAATTGATGTGCTAACTGGAAAACAAGGAAAAATTAGAAGTGTATGTTCCACATTTTGATTCAAATATTTATTGTAAACCATTCTACTTGTTTGTATTAAGAAATTTGGAGATAATTGGGTATTATGTAAAATTTAAAAGAAACAGGAAAATTTCATAAACATACAATGTTTCATTTGTGTCAAATATAATCAAGTTTTCATTTATATAAAAAAAAACAGTCTATAAAATTAGTGATATATGTATAAGTAACAAAATGGTTATATGTGTATGTAATGTATCAATACGTATAAATATTTATTTATACATATATATATATATATACATTAATGATACAATAAAGTATATTACATCGCATACCAATTTTATTTTTCAATTTCAACCAATTCAAATTTTGTTAAATAATCTCAAATTTAGATATGAGCTCTTTTTATTATTTCGAGTTTTTTGATATATTATTCACTCGAAACGATTTTTAAAGTTGGAACTTTGGAGGAGGAGGAAGAGGTGGATGAGGAAAACAACAAGAGAAGAAGTTATTAATGGTGAACGACCATTTTTGGTAAAAAAAAAATGATAATTGGATTAATTTGGGTAAATTTTTTTGACATATTATCTAAATTTCTTAATGACTTTTTTGACCCGTTCAAATTTGACCCCGCCATTTGCTATCTATATTCGTATCCTGCGGTATATAAAAACTTAATTTCTATGTGTTTTATGCAACTCATGTGACTTAAAACTTGTTTTTATTCCTGCAGTCATATCTGCAATTCTGCTAAAAATACAACTCTGGAATATTTAAATACTTTAAAATGAATTCACGAGAAGCCTACAAGTCTCTAACACTCTACCTGTAACATTATGTTACAAAGTCTGTTGAATGGTGAAGAATTTTAACATTAATTAAAGTTGTACACAACCTTTATTGAGCTGGAAATTCCTCCAAAAATTATTAGGATGCGGTTGGAAGCAAACTATTTATGTTGGCTTTTGTAATTTATTATATAATTGTTCACATTAGTAAACACAACCAAATTGACACTTCTTAGTTCTTACAAGTAGTGGAGTGGTGAGTAAGTTAAGAGGTTACGGATTTGAGTTTTCTTGGGTACGAAGTCGTCTTTGTTAGGAAATGCTTTATCCGATGTAAAATTTTCTAATGTAAATAATTCAGATTTAGTTGGACTCTAATGATACAAACATTGAGTGGGAAACCAAAATAAAAATATTGACACTTCTTTTTTTACCTATATTGAGAGTGAAATTATTGTTCCCAATTTGCATACGGCTCTTTACAACAACTTAATAAGCACTACAAAAGAGGAAAAAATAAAATTTAAAGCACTGTTTTTATTTACAGCAAAAAAAACTTTATAACAATGCATATTTGTTTTATTACAAAAAAATAAAAACGACAGTAGTTTCTTTTGTATGTTTGTCATTCTCAATTTGTTTACGCTTCTTTAGAAACTCCAAAACATAAAAAGATTCAACACCGCTATTTTCGTCAGCTAACACTTTTTTCAGCTTCAAATATATCATTTTTTAATCTCAACTTAAATTTTGTGAAATATTCTATGAGAATATGTTGTAGGTCCCACATCACTTGGGATCAAAATAACAAAAAGAAAAAAGGAGTTCTCTTACCCATTAACTCACCATATACTCACTTGTGACACTATATCATGGTGGGTGGAAAAAATATTTTTTAACGAAAATATATGTATTTATTAATAAAAATATTATAGTAATATTTTTACTGACATTAATTAATTGTCATTAGATTCATTGTCGCTATAGATTTTAGAAACATTTATAAAAAGTATTGATTATTGCTAAAAATATATATTTAGTGATAATTAAGTTATTATCGTTAATTAATTAACGTTAATTTGTTAAAAAAATTACACATCCCTGCACCGAACAAATAAATTTGTATCCATTCTTGATTCTACCAGCCACCTGACGATTCGTCTTATATGGATCATATTATGTCTGTACCGTCAGATATTTCTCTTTAGGTGGTTGTTAAAATAAATTAGCCTAACAATCAAATGATAAAAAAAACAACTAATTTAACAGAATCTTTGGAATAGTATTTCTCGGATTCAAGATGTAAAGTTTACGAATTCCTACCATAATTTTAAGTTAATATACAATAATAATTGAGTTAACAAACAAATATTTAGTGAATGTATAGATATATAAGATTGGAGCAAAATTACTGAATTCTCATGAGCTTCTCGACAAGCTGGAACCGCCCCGATATTTCTTATAATCTCATTATCAATATCTGAGTTTTTAATTTTAATACATCGAAACACACCTTTTAAGTTTTTAAGAGTACTACAATTTTCTAATTCATCGAAACACACCTTTTAAGTTTTAAAGAGTATGCTTTTTTTTTTTATTACTCTAGTACTTCTTAGTAAATGCACCTGGTATGACTTAAATGTCGATGAAAATGGTACAAACAATTATTAGAGATCAAGTTCAAGACTTCAAATTCAAGGAAAGACAGAAAAAATTAAGTTAATTTTTATCATTTTAATGAACAGGATCATAAGATACATAAATAGTAAGAGATGTACATAAAAACAAATCATTCAAGAGACGATTACAATATGTGCTCAATATTTTCTATAAAGTATTCTATTCCATGACACACATAATATATACATAGAAATACGTCGTGAAAATAATTGCATTTAGCATTATTCAAAGCACTAATATATATATAGTTCACGTGTAAAATAATACAAATATATGGTAATTTTATTAAAATTAAAGTGGCACGTCGAAAGTGATAGTTAATCGATCGATCCTCTAAGTTGCATTTCCGAAAAATTGGTATTGCCTTAAAATGTTGAATAATAATCGTTTCTCTTCATGCAAGGTTTTAAGACAGAATTACATTGATGGCAAGTAGTATCTCTGTTTTTGGAAAAATATTTCCATTAGCCTCCTCAAAATGATGCTAAAGAACAGGATATTTCTACGGTCATTAGATTCACCCAATTTAAGCTGACACAAAAGAGAAGAAAACAAACAACAATATAATTTCTTCTTTCTTTCTTTTGATTATTCTATCATCTTTCAAACATTCACATCAGTGTACGTCTTACCACAAAATCAGGTATAGCTAGCGTAATAAACTAAGTAGTCAATTCTCATGTAAATAACATTTCACGCATGCACGTTGAATTAATGTTCATTACATAATATTAAGGGTTGTTTTTGTTTCATTTCTTCAATCAGGTTATTAACAGTGGCTGCGATCGATCCTTGAATAGAAAAATAATCCAACTCATGGGTCCAAGCAAGCTTAGACAAGCAATAGGGGCAGTAAAGGACCAGACGAGCATAAGTTTGGCCAAAGTAGGCAGCAGCGCCTCCTTGTCCGATCTTGAAGTTGCCATCGTGAAGGCAACCCGACACGATGAGTACCCACCAGAGGAGAGACATATAAGGGAGATTCTAAGCTTGACTTCTTATTCTCGAGCCTATGTTGGTGCATGTGTCAATTTCCTTTCCAGACGCCTTAGCAAGACGAAGAATTGGGTTGTGGCGCTTAAGGCACTCATGTTGATCCATAGGCTGTTATGTGATGGAGATCCATCCTATGAGGAAGAGATTTTCTTTGCCACAAGGCGAGGAACAAGGCTTCTTAACATGTCTGATTTTCGTGACTCCAGATCTAACTCCTGGGATTGTTCTGCTTTTGTACGATCTTATGCTTTGTACCTTGACGAACATTTGGAGTTTAGGATGCAGAACCGTAGGGGAAAACGCAGTGCATTTGCATACAATGATGATGATGAAGAAGAGGTTCGCCATAATGCCAGGGGTATAAAAGCTACACCCCTCAGGGAAATGAAGAATGATCGAGTTTTCTCAAGGATTCATCATCTCATGCAACTTCTTGAGCGATTCTTAGCCTGTCGACCTGCAGGTTTCTATTTCCACTTTTTGCTTTGCCAATTTTACCGACTCTTTCTTTTTCTCAAATATATAGTCTTTAAATTCCACTATATGTGTTTCAGGTTCTGCAAAGAACAATCGAGTGGTGATTGCGGCTCTATATGCATTAGTGAAGGAAAGTTTCCAGCTATATTATGATTTAACAGAAATCACGACTCTCTTGTTTGATAAGTTCATAGAACTATCAATCCCAGACTCTGTGAAGGTTCTTGAGATTTTCTTCAGAATTAATAAGCAATATGAGGAGATTGAACAGTTCTACGATTGGAGTAAAACAGTTGGAGTTACACGCACTACTGAATATCCAGATATTGACATCATTCCACCTAAGAAACTCGAGCGTATGGATGACCTTATACGAGAAAAGTCCTTCAGGGAACAGAGCAGGAAGGCAATGCGGAATGAACCAACTGCTGAGCACGTTCAAGAAACTAAAAGGCAAGAACCTAAAACTGAACCGGAAGAGGACATGAATGCAATTAAGGCATTACCAGCACCAGAGGTATTACCAGAAGAAAAGACAGAGGAAGAGGAAAAGAAGACGGTGAAAACCCAAGAAGAAGGAGACTTGTTAAACTTGGGTGAAGATGTTCCAACTTCGGAAGAACATGGAGATCAACTGGCATTAGCGTTGTTTGATGGTGGTCAAGCAACGACCAATCCTGCAACAAGCATTTCACCATGGCAAGCGTTCAACGATTCAGGAGATTGGGAGACAGCACTCGTTCAGTCTGCGAGTCATTTGTCAAACCAGAAGACCTCCCTCCCTGGAGGCTTCGACACATTAATGCTCAATGGCATGTACCAACAAGGAGCAGTGTCTCAGGCAGTAGCCTGCTCAGGTGTCGTGGCTACTGGAAGTGCAAGCAGCGTTGCACTTGGCTCAGCAGGACGGCCAGCAATGCTAGCATTGCCTGCACCTCCAACCGCAAATGGTGGAGCTAATACAGCCGCACCAGGCACAGATCCTTTTGCAGCTTCACTGGCAATAGCTCCACCAGCATATGTTCAGATGTCCGAGATGGAGAAGAAACAGAGACTACTAATGGAAGAGCAGTTAATGTGGCAAGAGTATCAGAAAAATGGAATGCAAGGAAAGGTAGGATTTGCCAATGCGCAGCCAAACCCTTACCCGTATAACATTGGTGGTTACAGACAAACCTTCTAAAGATTTCACTGATAAGATACACAACAATGTAATGTCATTTTCCCTGTGGTCAGCAGTATCTCAGTAAAAAGGTCAAGTCATGAAATTGTCCAGAAAGAAAGTGGCATCCAGAAGAAGAGCTATGCAAGTTCACATCTAACCATTGTCTGCACTGCCATCTTTCTCAGAAATTCAGTTAAGCTACAATATTGAAGTATGAGAACTGCAAAACTACATGTAGACAAGATCCATTATCAGTGTACAGAATGTAACATCTTCTTAAAACAAGTGCTAGTGACAAGTTATAACATACTGTGCATTCTACATCATAAGAAATGACAAATTAATCGCAGCAATGAAAGATAGCAAATGCTAATTCATGTTATTAGTATATTCATTCATGAAAAATGAAGGAAATTACTAATTAACATAATTTAGCAGACAAGCCATAAAAGTTACAAACTAAGCACAATAATCAGCTTGAATAATTCGTCCAATCTAGGACTAATCTCTACACAGTTGACAAAGATATCAAACTCATAATGAAAGGTTTCTTAAATTTGGCAGCTTCACGTTACCCTGCTTCTTTGCGGAGACACCCAACTGCATTCCTACTGATACCAAGGTCTCTAGTGATCTTCCACTATTTTCCAAGAGATCCTCATCTATCCTTATGGAATCCTGTATATTTCAACTGATTAGATGCCAAAATCACTGAACAGCAGGATAGTTAAATTTCATAAAACAAGATATTTCCATATTTGTTGTTTACTACTCCCTCTAAGGAGCAGCGCTTCCAGATGTAGAGACTTAAATTGGACACAATAGACAAACGTGAGAAGGGAAGGGTGAAAACTCCTACGTATAGACACAAAATGTTTAATTTTGGAGTGAACATCGTAAGGTGGCTAATATATGAGGCAAGTAATTCACCATCACTCCCTAAAAAGTTCACGATCTCTAAAGCTTCTGTGAATTGGTCATTTTAAACTGTCTAATCTTCCACTTGCACATCCACATCTTGCAAAATGGAGTTTTCCCACTAGAAAGAAAAATCTTGGTGACCTACCTTTTCAAAGACACAAATTACTGTACTTCCACCAAAAGAAAAATATCCAAACTGCAATCACGAAAAAGAAATGCGAATTAGACGTCAAACAGGATCATTTAATTCTCAGACAGCAAAAGCCCAACATCATAAGTACCGAACCTCATCCCCTTTTCTCACATAATCGCCCTCCTTTTTAGAGAAATTAATGCTACCAACCATTGTTGCTCCAATTGCAACAAATGCAACCTGCAGTCAATTAAGCAAAGCTTCTTTCACCAAATTGAGCATAATGAAACACAGTAAGGTCATAGAATTCAATGTCTGAGCTAACAAGTCAGAATTGTTGACTCAACTTAGACGGGTACAAGCAATTAAGCATTAGTAACAAGTATATTTAGAGCTCCTATAGACAGAAAATGGAAGGATTGAAGCTTTAGTGAGAAGATTACACAACACCTTAGAGACAAAACACATTAATGACTATTAAAAATAGCCGCAAGGAGATGATATCAAGATAGATTGATAGAGCATCGAGTTATGCTCACGTGGAGATTTTCTAAAGATTAGCAAATCCATCAAAAAGGAACTTCAAAATAGGAGTCACACAAACAAAGTGGCCTGGATCTGATAACCGTGTCAATGAGATAGGTCACTAGATCCATTGCTTTGACCAAACACAGCCTAATGAGAGAAATGTTGTAAGATAATAATCAAAAACCTCTTACTGATAAAGAGGAGAATAGATGTATCATTCTGAATTTTCAGATATTTAAAATGTCCACTTCGGATGGCATATCAAAGAGATTGTGGTTACTTTGTTTGATGCTTATATATATATTCTCAGACATCCATTTTTCTGTAGACTTTCCTAATGGTATACTCCCTCTCGCAATTTATGTGACACACTACTTATTAGTCTATCTCAAAAAGAATGTCACCGTTATATAATTTTTTTTGATAACCAAGAAATCCGCTTGTGACCCGCTCTTTGGACCAATCACAGCCTTCTAAACTCAGTGGATAATGGGCCCGCCCCTCTACCCTTCTCCACTTAAATACCAGGCTTCGCTTTGCATGGTGTGGGGCTTGAACCTGTGACCTAAGCCACAAATCCTCCACCTTTTGCCACTCGAGCTAGGCTTTGGGGAGATGTCACCTTTATATAATTAGAAACAATTCTACTTAAAAATTGCCCTTTCACCCTTAATGAAATGATTAATAGTCACACAAATGTCTAAGGTTTATTTTAGACCACAAATTCCAGAAGTTTTTCTTTCTTTCTTAAACTTTGTGTCAAGTCAAACAGTACCACATAAACTGGAACGTAGGGAGTATCATAGAATATCATTCTGTTTTTCTTTCTCAGCTCAATCACTACTCCAGCCACTTCCTCAACCCGTTTGACACTCTACGCTCTAGGTCTATTTTCAACCAAATTGGAACCATTTGGGCTCCTCAATTTAACCCTTAAGAGTAAAAAGAAAGGAGAAAAACTAATACAGGAAAAAACTTCATTCCACATGTAAAGGAATAAACCACATTACATTAATTGGAGGTATTACTGAAAAAAATTAAAACATACAAGCATAAAATTTCCAAAGGTTTACGATGACATATGATATCCACCTATCGTCTTATGGTTTTGGTTTTGACAATTAGATTTCACATGGTGATCAAGTCAATTTAAGCTAATTTTCTTAGCATAATTCTGTTTTCACACCCTTTTTCTTCATACTTCCAACTGAATTCTATATAGATTTCCTACTTTTATCTCTGTCCACACCTCTCCCAAAAATTCCATCCATTTAGTTTATTTCTTTGCTCCAAGTCCAACACTCACTCGTTTAGCCTGTTAGTTCATTCTCTCAAATTTAGGGTCACTCTTGAACCTGGTAAACCCATTTTCTCAGCTCCATGACATACCCGCAATTTATCAAAGTATTGCCATTAGCCCACTCTTGTGCTATTAGTTCATTTCAGGCTCTTAAAAATTAAGTTCATCACCCTTTCAAAAGAAAAAATCAAAGAGAAGAGAGAACAGGACTTCAATCTATGTGTGAACTCTAGGATTCGAATATAAATATAGGAGGGTGTTAGAGATACACAATGCCCTACTTCAGTTGTAAAAGGATTTTGAAAGGGCTCGTAATAGTCCTAAACTACTCCACCCATCAACTTAAAGTTTTGGGTAAATGCTTAAAAGTCATTCATATTACTGATACCGTTTATCAGAATTAATTACTTCTAAATTTAGCATGGCCAATAAAAGACAGCAGGACAACATAACAAAGTAGTACATAACTTTTTCATGAAAAAAATATATTTTTAAGACTAGAATCAAATGCATAAAATGGCATACCTTTCCAAAGTGTTCTGTGGAAATTATAGACACAACCCTCTTATTCTCTGTGAAGACGTTGCAGTATTTGCTATTCACAGCAATAGGATTCACCTAGAGGAAAGAGAAGAAAAGGGGAGTGGGGTGGGTGGAATAACATGAATCATTTAGGAGGGTTTAAAAATTACTCTGATAAAGAAGCAGCAATACGCCGCCAAGAACAAATAGGCGACATACAAAGAAGCAATATACTCTACATACCGTATACAAGCAACCAGGTAGTTCAAGAAATTTCTCAATAGTTCCAGATACAGGAAAGTGGAAACGGTGATAGTCCTGAATTTGGATACAGCATATCCAAAAGGTGTAAATCAGAATACAACACTGGAAATTTGCTTAACCAAAAAAATTTAATATTGAGAAATTTTAACAGAGATATTTAATAGTGTGAAATAGCTCCAACAATGAAGAAGGTTCACAACAGTTCTACCTGTGGTGCCAAGCGAAATATCACTAGAGCTCCATTGACAAATTCACTAGAACACATTTCATTCAGTAGACCTTGGATGGAAAACTTTCGACCCTGAGGTAATCCATAAGATACCAAGGTAGTTGTCATCGCAATGTATATGAGAATAAGCTTTTGAAACTTCTAAGAAATCAAAAAAACACAAACATAAAGGCAAAATAAGAGAAACAAAATCAGCAATTCGTATAGGCTCCGCAACTAATCTTCCCTAGGAGATCATTACTGGTATCATGAGAAACAGCACAATATTTACCAGAAATAATGAAAAACACACATTTGTTAACAATAATTGGATTTACCTTGATCCAACATCTTATACTATCAGCAACACTGTTGAATGCCATCAGACGGCAATCAGCAGCACATACAGCAATATCATCACGTTCTACAAAAGCAATAGGTCTTGCACCAGGCTTCAACTCTCTTATGAAAAATTCGTTGAATGTCTGGAAACCAAATTTACGAGACCATCAAAGAAATGATGTGCAATGATAGAGAGCACTTCATTAAAAATTTACAATACTAGTAAATTATGTGAACAATAATCACATATAAAATAAAGTGCATTGGATTGATCAAGATAAAGTACATCCAAGTGACCGGCAATCTTCCTCATTGTATAAGCTTTCTCTTTAATTAGATTAATTGATAGCAAACAGACGAATTGATTTAAAATATTTTTCCATTTTATACAAAATGGAACTCCCATTTGCTTTGCAGATAATTGATAAGTTTCCCGGATATAGATTATTTTTTGGTATGCACTATGCACTCATCAGTCGATTGTATGTCCATGTCTAAATTTCACCAACAATCAACTGAAACAAGTAATATACCACAAACATTTTGCACATTTCATCTTTGACTTGATGTATGCCAAATAATTGTGCTTTATTTCAAGTTACCATCTCATAGCTACAGCTACTCCTAGCAGAAAAAATAATATGACATGGGAAAAGATTGCTTCAGTTCATCTACTCACTTCTTCTATATGTAATACCAAATTGAAGCATATGAGACTTGAGAGGAACAGACTAAACTATATTCATTCTTTTCATAATTCATAGCACTGCTAATATCAGTTCATTCTCCTGCAATCAGTCCAAAGACCTAGTTAGGACTTTTTTTTTGAGATCAAGTGTTGTTTCATTGATAATGGGAAGCTTTCATATACAAGGAGCATACCGAATTGAAGTGAATAAAGAAAGAATA